GAAAACATTGAAGAAGCTTTTCTACTTTTACTTTTTAGTTTAAAAATGTTTGACATGTTTGAACGTGCAGAGGACAGGGTGGAGCAGCAGGAGTGTGAGCGTTTATGGCAGGTCCTGTGTCATCCTCTTATTTCAGTCATGTTTGAAAAGCGGGCATGTGTTTCCTCCAGGTCAATTCATAAATCATAAATCATTTTTCTGTGAGTCTTTTTGTTCATTTGTTCATTTCATTGACCCATGTTTGGTGTACAGGTTTTTCTTTTCACCGTTTCTCATTACATTTGAAAACTATCCATTTTTTCCACAGACTCTTTGTGAGCAGTGGTGGAAGCTTCACATGTTTGAGCCAAGGTAACAAGAGAAAAAGAGAAAGAGAGACAGAGAGAGAGATTTTACTTGAGGCACGTTTTGCTTTTGCTTCATGATCCTGTTCCTTTTTGGGCAAATTTTCTTATCGACAACATTTTATTCAGCTGTATTCACACAGGTCTTTCCATGAGTTTGTGCTCACTTTTACCAGACAATTTCAGGACACAAGGGTGCACCGTTTGTCTGACTCATTTTCCTTTTTATATTCATTTTTTCAGTGAACCATTGCATTTAAACATGTCCACAGTGTGAAATAAACACATAATTTCCTTTCAACAAAAACATTGCAAAATTATCATTTGAAGCTACATCATAGAATTACATTATTCAATCCACATTTTGTATAAACGCCAATCAGAGCGTGTACAGACATCCAACCAGTGTTCATTAATCCAAGAGTTCCAAAGACATTTCATTTATTGTTGTAATAATGATTCCGTATTCGCAAACAGACATGGATAAAGCTCAACTGGACTCCCCCGTGCTGTCAACAAAGAACTACAAGTAGCAGACAACTACCTAGTGCCAGGTCCTCCTACCTCACCTGGGTGCCCGTCCCCGACATACACCACCTGTGCTCACATGCCCCATCACCAAGCGGGAATCACCATGGCAACTATGTCAGAGCTCGCTTTAGGTGGTGGTAGTCACACAGCAAATTCAAGAGTGTTAATTCAACTCGTATACTGTTAATTTTAACACTTTTACCATGTCATATGGGGTCCACACCAAAATGAGTCAAAACCACACTTTCCAAAGTGTAAAAGGCTCAACACTGGTAAAGTGATGTAACTCCTCATAGTTGAATTTGACAAAATTAACACTGATTAAGATTAGATTTTTTTTTTTTTACACTAGTGTATAGTGAAAAAATAATAACTCTATATTGCTATGTTTTAACACTTTATGAAGTAGAAGTAGTGTACAGTGTTCTTCATGTTACACTATTCAATAGTAACTCTTTCTTCACGAAATACAGTGTAAATGCTGTGGTCATTCTAGTTCATAATCCCTTTTACAAATGTAAAAGAATGAAAACCACCACAAAATTCCATTTCAACTTAACGTGTATTAAAACAATGCACATCATTCAATCAACACAAGTTCCATCCATCCATTTTCAAGCAGTCTAAGCATCCCAGACTGACACAATATTCCGTTCCTTCTGGGCACAAATCCCGAGGGAGGCTCCGGAACAGATGCAGCCAGAATCTCTCTCCTCCCGTGCCCCTTTTGCTTGCTAAACTTCAGGAAATGACAAATGCAGGTGAATATGGATGCAAATCAGATCAAGCACATCTGGTCACACCTCAGTAGGAGTTGTCACCTTCTCACTTTGAAATGTATGTCTTCTGGTCATCTCAGGCTATATAAACTTGGTGCTTTAACATTCGGGGAAATGGGCCAAGATGTGGTTGGGACATACTGCTGGAGGAGAGAGGCTTTTGGGCTGTGACCAGGGCAGGACTAGGCCCTGTCCATATCTTCTGTAACAAGAATAAACCTTGGTCTATATTCCAAAAACTCAGTGGGCTTCCCAAATGGATTAATTATTTATCATCATTATTTATCATCAAGGGATATATAATATTTTCTACAACAAGAGCATAACATTGTCCATACAGGGGACAATATATTCTTCTCTTTACTGTTGGTGGGTATCGAAGTGGTCAAAATAATCACACCTGGGACATTTCTTGTATAAAACTGGACAAATCAGTGGTTTTGTATAAATCTGCTGGGACAGAGGACAGGGGACTCAAAACTGTGACTGTCCAGGGTCAACAGGGACATTTGGTAACCCTAAGTTTACTGTAACTGTGCAAATTAGAGATGTAACAATAACCGAAATATGGTGTTATAATAACCTCAAAAGTCTCACAATAATATCGTGGCCATCGCAACATAACAAAACACACGTTCCTTTGCTTAAATGCAATGTTTTATAGTAGCAACAGTTTATACACATAGAGACATATACATACTGCATATCCCATGATTCATTTCAGTGCAGACAACATGAAGAAATATCAAAATCTTGTCAAAATATAAAAAAGTGTCCCATCTACAATTATATCATCCTCTTCAAAATATCCCAAGAAATATCACACCGTGAGATGCATATTGTGAAAATATTGTACCGTGAGATTTGGATATCATTACATCCCTAGTCAGGGTTGGGAAGGTTACTTTTAAAATGTATTCCCCTACAGATTCCAGATTACATACCCCAAAGTGTAGTTTGTAATGTAATCCATTAAATTACTTAAAGTGAGTAACGTAATCTGAATACTTTGTCTTACTTGATGTGCTGTAGAGAAACAAAGACTAGGATATCTTCACATAAGAAGTTTTGTCTGCTAAAAGAAAATAAAAAGCCCAGACTTTACTTAAGCATATTAAAAATATTACTGATAGAAGAGGAGGAGACACGGTCCACATGGCATGGATTTAGTCCTGTTAAATCCTGTTTTATACCTGGTTTATTCCTGTTAAATCCTGTTTTAGACCTGGTTTAGTCTGTTAAATCCTGATTTAGGCCTGGTTTAGTCCTGGTTTAGACCTGGTTTTAGTCCTGGTTTAGTCCTGGTTTAGACCTGGTTTTAGTCCTGGTTTAGTCCTGGTTTTAGACCTGGTTTAGACCTGGTTTATTCCTGGTTTAGTCCTGTTAAATCCTGTTTTAGACCTGGTTTAGGCCTGGTTTAGTCCTGGTTTAGTCCTGGTTTTAGACCTGGTTTAGACCTAGTTTAGTGTCCAGCAATGAGTGGAATTATGAAAAAAATAAATAAATAAAATCAATCAATAAATAAAATAGCCCAAAATGTGAAAACAGGAACATACCGCCATGTAATCCACTTATTTCAACAAAGTAACTGTAATCCAATTACCTCTCACTGAAACAGTAACTGTAACTGAATACAGATACTCATAATTTGTACTCTGATTACGTAACTCCGGTACATGTAATCTGTTACTCCCCAACACTGTCCCTAGAGCAAATATTTACACTTTACTTTGTACAGTAGTTGTAGAAGACAGAACCTTTGGCACGTGTCCAAGTGCTGAGCTCAGCAGCGTGGTGTACCTTTACGACAGTGGGAGTCGTAGTACGGCGCTGCTGACGTCACTCCTCGCACAGCGGCAGCAGCGGCGGCGGCAGTGGCGGATCTGCGAGCGGAGAGCAAAACTTACGGCCGCGGGATTAACCGACAAACACGGACTGGTAAATCTCTCATTGACCTTAACCTCTGCAGACGCGTGTCAATGAATATCCCGCGTGTTTGTGGTTACGTGGGTGCGTGAGTGCGTGTGTTTGTGTGTGTCACGTCACGTTATGGCCACGCCGCCCACTTACATAATTTAAGATAACGCTACAGGCTCCTCTCGTGTTTATCTACAATGCTTTGAGCTGCACTGAAATAATAACATGGTGTCATATAGTCTCAGTATTTAGGCATTGATCACACACAGGATACGCACTGTCCATGCACTCGCTCACATTTGTTTTTCTTCTGCTAATTAGCGTTTGTTTGTCTGCAGATGGGAAAAACAAAACGTCATGAAAGATTGTGACACTGAGGGGGATGAACAGGAAGAAATCTGGTGAGTCAAACCCCCAAAATTTAGCTATAGACTCTAGAGGTATATTATTACACATTCATAAACGTGTTAATTAAAACTACTGCTTGTATACTGTTTACAGTAATTGAGAAAAACATTACAGAGCCGATATTCTAAAAAAAAAAAAAAGATACCAGATAACCCTATGTTCTGTCAATCATGTCAGTTATTTCATTTTTGCCCCTTACCACCTCTTTTGGATAACTGAGATATGTTTGTATTACTATATTACTATATTTTATTTTGACTTGTACATATGCATTTAGATCATTTTGCCTTATTTGACACCAGTCTCTTGATATTTTTGGTACTTATTTAGAATTTATTATTACCATTATATTTTTGCTCTTTGTTATTATAATATATTTGTGATGTGTGAGCTACTGTGTCCAAATAATTTCCCTTGTGGATCAATAAAGTCCAAAGCCCTCCTTAATATTAAAAGATGATGTTCTCCTATCAGTCAGAATCACATAATAACTTAACTATGAGAAAAATAAATCCTTAACAATATTTAGAGGACAATTAGGGAACATTTAAAGCTAAAAATAAGAATTGATCGTGTCATCATTGTGTAATTATAATTAAAAGCTTATTATCTCAATTTACGAATTCCTTTTTGGAGTTTCTAAGGCAATGTTTCCCAAAGACTGGGTTATGACCATCAGGTGGGTCACAAGAGATTTTTTTTGGGTCGCCTTGTCACGATCTGCATGTAGGTCTCCAATATACAGTTCTGACACATGTTGAAATGTTAAGACATGTTTTATATAATTTCTAATCTTTTTGTCATTATTTTATTGACTATTTTGTTCCAATATTGCTGGTTCAATTGAATGTTGAAAAGAAAAAGAAATGGGCTACATGCTGCTTCAATGACTGTTTTTCTTTCTTTAAAACTTGAGTAATACTAATTGTTCAGAGACATGATCACTCCGTCAACAATAAAATTATCCTCATTATTGTTCAATAATGATCAAATCCACCTTTATTTTGTGATTTACAAATAATGTCTAATTGACTTGGTTCGTGAAGGTTAGTAACTTTTAAAATATGGGTCCCCAGAAAAGAAGAAGTTTGATCTAAGGCGTACAGTGGTTATTTTTCTGGTCACTGACACTGCATTATTCATGGGTTTCAGCTTCCTGTTATATTCAACATTTTGAGGACTTTTTCCGACTCAGAAGATATTATATTGTAAATTGTTAATCGCTATGGCAACACTCTTAATTTCTCATCACTCTGTAAGCCATGCACTGACAGTGACCTGATTGTTTTGTTGTGTAGTGATGAAAACGAGGAGGAGGTTCCAATGAGGAGAAGTTTCTCGGTTGAAGACCTGCTCGATGAGGTGGAGAAGATCTGTTACGATGCCTCAGGGTCATCTAAGGTCAGAGGTCACTTCACTTCAGCCACATAGATTTTCCATTTGGGATTTTAGTGTAACAGACTGGTAATAGGCTGTGTTCACAGACCTTTACAGGGCCTGTATTACGCTGTTTCCTGATCTATGTTAGAATGTTGTTTCCTCATCAGACCTGGAGTTGTGTTTTGTTTCATTTACACATGTTTAACACACAAATCCTGTATATTTACACTGAGTTCGTTTGTCAAACTCTGTTCCACCTTATGATGTCATGTGGTAATACAAGAAGTACTCCACTGTGTTTTTAAACTCCAGACACTTTCACTAGAATCATTTGGATCATGTCAGCCCTGGAATTGCCAATCTCAACTAAACAAAAGGTAAAAGGTAACAGTTAACTTAGTACATGACATAGAGCATTTTGAGCTTTGGAAATAAAAAGACTAATTATAAAGGATTACTCAGACATGTGTGAATGAAACAAAACACAACTCTAGGTCTGTTTTTGAGGAGGTAAAAACATGGTTTAAAGCTCACAAGAGTCAATTTTGCATAATATTGGACCATTAATTGCCAACATCTCTTTATGTAATTTGCTTGTGTTTACTGAGTGAGCTGTTCAAGTTGCTTATTTTATTAGTCATGACACCACCTACACAGAATTTTGACTTGATGAAGTAAAATTACTAAACATTTATGCAATTTTTTGTGAACGCAGCCAGATATTAAGGAGAAGGAGCCAGTTCACACACAAACATTTTAACACAAGCTGTAAATATTTTTGCTGAATGTCAGTTTATGTTAAAAACTTCAGTGGAATAGTTGTCTATACTCCTCTGCTCTGAGAAAACACTGGTTCATGTAGTCTTTCAAGTAACTTTTGCATATTTTCTGTCCTCTTATGGATCATGATTAAGTCTGTAGTTAATAAAGACTGATTGATTTCAACCTATTGTACACTGTTTACTGTATGAAGCACAACATTCTTCTTCGTTATTACCCCTCAGTGCTGAATTGTGTGTTACAGGTGGAGATGGTGGTACGACTGTGGAAAGACGGCTTCACTATAAATGATGGAGAGTTTCGGAGTTACTCTGTGCCTGAAAACCAGGACTTTTTGGATGCCATCAAAAGGGGGTAGGTCCCAAACAGAAGCTTACACTCATATTCTTTTAGTTTAGTTATTATGGATCATGCTTATTGTAATTTTCTTATAATATTAACAATAGTTTATCAATGGCCTTATGAAAGGTTGAAGTACATATCATGTATTCGTATTAATATTTTCAATGTACAGTGCTTAAAAATGCAAAATAATGGGAAAGAGTCTGTAACTGGTGAATGTGATCAATGTTTTCAACAAGGTCTGTGGACCCACTTCACTGTAAGAATTAAGATCTTTGAATAACTGTAAAAATGCAGGATGAATACGTTTAATGCCCTGCTGTGGAACATTTGAGACAAAGCAACAACAGCTTTATAGAGACTAGCAGGAGCGTTTAGTGCACCTTCATTTAATGGTATTGTATTAATCTTAGCCTATAACAAAATATGTAGTTGAAAAACTGCATTTTTGTTTCCATTTTACACTTTTACATTAACCACAGTGTCCTTAAATAACATAGATAAGGGAATTCATCATTTTATTCCCAAAGTCAAACTCATTACTCTGTCAAACAGAATCAGCAGTAGAGATGTCCTCCGGCGCCCCCCACAGTGACCACTGCAGCATGACACTTGTTAATATTAATTTGTCTTTCTGATGGATATGACTTCACTGACCATCTGTTCATAGTGTGGGCACGATACGAAAATTCCAAAACTACTCAATACTCAATACCGATTCTGATACCGATTCTTATAAAACCACTCTTTATTCAGACAATAGAACGTAATTTTCAAGATTAAATCATAGTACTTTCTTTTCTTTTCCCATGTGGTCTTATCTGTGTAATCCCTCAGTGGTCCTGGAAGGTTCCATAGTGATCCATGGGTGTATACTAGTCTATGTGCTCTGATACTTTTTCTGACACAGCTCAAAATCGTTCTAAAGCGATTCAGGAAAGGCTAATTATTGGCCTGTTAATGTGACAACCCTAATCTGTTTTAGGGAGCTTCCATCTGAGTGGGAGAGCAGAGCAGAGGAAGAGGAGCTAGAAATCAGCGTGGAAGATTTCACAGAAGAACCATATGTCCCCAAAAAGAAAGCATTTCACCCTTTCAGTGGACGCGGATACAGACTGGGCAGGTGAGATTTTGTGTTTCTCCTTGCACAGCATATGATTTAACATTGGAGTAAAAATAGCTCTCACACCTCAAGTGGTGGAGCTAATTTTAGAACAACGCAATTCATTTTTTCACCACTGGATGTCAGTCTAAATTATTATTACTAACTGGTCTGACATAGCCGCTAAATATTCCGCCAGCATTACAATTGCAGATCTCTTGTGTTTTATTGAATTGTGTACGAATAAATTATCTACTTGTATTTCTGCAGTTGATGTTTTAGCTCATTTTAGAACAACGCAATTCACTTTTACACCACTGGATGTCGGTCTAAATCCAGTTTTATTATTCCAAGCTGGTCTGATAAACAGTCCAAATATTTCACCACCTTTACAAATGCAGATCGCTTGTGTATTATTGAGTTTGTACGAATTAATATCTACTTAAATTTTCTGCAGTCGTTATTTTAGCTCATTTCAGAACAACGCAATTCACTTTTATACCACTGGATGTCAGTCTAAATTCAGCTTTATTTTTACGTGCTGGTCTGACATCGCAGCTAAATATTCCACCACCATTACAATTGCAGATCGCTTGTGCATTATTGAACCATGCAAGAATAAATTATCTGTTAGTATTTGCTCCAGTTGTTGTTGCATGTCCTGATTTGACGTCTAAATTGTCTTCATTACAAAGCGTGCGTACCATAGCCTGCACTGTAAAACCAGCACTGGGCGGCTAATCTTTTGTGTTGTGTTATGTCCAGTGTTGCGCCCAGAGTAGTGGCCAGGTCACCATCTGTGCATGAGGATGGAGAATCTGCTCCTATTCCCATGGTAACACTAGACCACGCCCTGCCCGTTACCTCGCTGCAGATTTGGTTGGCTGATGGCAGGAGACTGGTACAAAGGTTTAACTTATCGCATCGGTAGGTATAATGTATATTTATATGTGCATACTGTTTTGTTTACCGCAATGAGAGGCAGGGCTGCTCACAGACAGGGACAGAAGCCGGTCTTCTTGTATGAAATTTGCTGTGTTTTTAATATTATACATGTAAAAGTCCTGGATCTTTTATTTATTATTTTCAGTTTTCACACCAGTCTTCAGTGGGTGGAGAGAGAGAGTTTTTCCTACTGTTTACATGGTATTTTTATATATTTACAAAAAAGATGTTATGAATTAGATCTATTTTCTATTAATATTTATGAATCTAATTATGCTTAACCTTTTATTTATTATTTTCCATTTTCACATCATCTTGCATAATGGATGGAGAGAGATAATTTTTCCTATTGTTTACATGGTATTTTTATATATTTGCGAAAAAGCAGTTGTACATTAGTTTTATTATTATTATTATGAATCAAAAAATGCAGGATCTTTAATTTATTGGTTTCCATTTTCACAACATCTTATATAGTGGATGGAGAGAGACAGTTTTTCCTATTGTTTACATGATATTTTTTATATATTCAAGGAAAAACTGTTGTAAATTTGTTGTATTTTTAATGTTATGAATTTAAAAATGCTGAACCTTTAATTATTATTTTCCGTTTTCACAACATCTTATATAGTGGGTGGAGAGAGACAGTTTTTCCTATTGTTTACATGGTATTTTTTATATATTCAAGAAAAAGCTCTTTCTAAAACCTTGACTAAAACCTTGATTTATTCGCTACAGTACAACAAAAATCTGTACTGTACTTTTAGTTAGTTAGTTTAGTTAGGTACCCCCTCATCTCTAATACATACTGCAGCTGTATAGAATATTATCATGTTATCTGAAATTTAGTAATATATGAAATCCCCAAATACAGTAAATCAGCACAGTAATATAAATGGCTTCGTTATATTGTATTTTGATAATTTAGTCTGCCCAGATTCCCACTCTACTACTCTATATCTGGATTTGTGTTTCCTTGATAGGCACCATTTTGAGGACTTTTGACCATTCAAAAGATATGCAATTTTGTTATGAATTATAAATTACTATGGCAACAGTCCTAGTTAACATTTAAAGATAAAATTGTGGATTAAAAACCTTTCAGTCACACAGTCGCACAGCTAAACAGGATCATTATTATGATGTTTTAAATTATTATTTGCTATGACAACATTGTACATTTTTTTTATCACTCTTAAAGGTGCACTGTGCAACTTTTCTGGTGGAGGGTCTGCTACATATTTGTCTCCATGGAGATGCTTAACCTGGAATGTTCCATGTTAGCGTTTATTAATTACGGGTGTTTCTATTGCTGAAAAATTCAATAATTCTTTCTATGAATAAGGACGCCTCTCCACAGATCTGACCTGTAATGTGGTGTAGTACTGTAACCTGCTTGTCTCCCTCATGATAGATAAGTTTAATCTATACTGTAGAACATTGTAGACAAAGCAGTGGTGTTTCCATGGAAACAAGCAGGTGGCGGACCCTCTTCTAGAAATGTTACACAGTGCACCTTTTAACCCATGGATATGCTTTTTTTTTACAGTACAATTCACGATTATGCTTTATTTTTTGTTCAGTTCTAAATCTTCAAAGCATAAAATTTCTGTGCCCCGCTTTTAAGATCACTAGAGACATTTTTTTTTTTTTTTTTTTAAGATGACATAATTCTTTGTTCTGGATTGGAAGAGCATGTTATCTCTCTCACCATTGTAGTGAACTGGGCTGCTCAAAACATAATCTGAGATGTAGCAAAGGAGCGCAGGATCTATAAAATCCCCAGAGAGACATTGCGTAACTCCAATGCTGCATTTATGTAACAGGGTTAGCAGCTAAAGCATACAGCGCTGAAGCCCTCCCAGCCCCGAGCTATAGCATTTGGCCCACCACGAACTGCTCATAAGGGGAGGCTCTTCATCAATTATACATGATTTTACTAGTATGGAGCTTTGAAGTGGAGTCAGCGCCAGTATTAAGCCACAGATACTTGGCAACGGGAGAGAAATGTTCCACGGGGGGCTTTTGTTGTCCCGGAAATCAAGTGTTGAACAAATTAGGGGAAGTATCTGCTATTTTTCTGACAAATATGGCGTTTGTGAGTCCATTTTTAGTCATGTTCAAATGTAGTAGACTTTAGAGAAGACTGAAATATTAATTGCCCTCCTAGCACGTACTCTTTAAAACGCCTATGGAGGGCTATACCACAAAGCATGTTCTGTCCTTGGATTTCAGAGTGATGCAAATCTAGTGCCGTTGCCATGGAAATTAATAATTTAAACAAAATATATGTATTTTTTAATGGGCAAAAGTCTTCAATATGTCACATTTAAACATGCATTGTGTAGCTTTTCTAGTGGAGGGTTTGTCAAAATGCTTTTCTCTGTGGTCTGATGGGTTTTTTTTGTCTTGAAAGTTTCACAGTATGGCATTAAACCTTTCTATCTTCATGCAGACCAAACCAGACCAAGTTACAGGTCAAATTTGTGCAGAGGCGACCCCACTCACAGTCAGAATGTCTGTTTTACTATGTATATTTGAGCTATAAAACCACCTGTAGTTTAATAAATGTAAAGTAGAGATGTTTAATGTCATACTGCGGAACATTCCAGCCAGAGCAATGACACATCCATAGAAACAAGAAGGTGACGGACCCTCAACCAAAAAGTTACATAGTGCACCTATAGAATTTAAACAGGAATTTGAACCCCACAATGCATACTAGAGACAGGATATATTCAGTTAAATGCATTGTGTATCTTTGTTGTTGTTTTCATCATTTAGTATCTGACTTTATTGTTCAACTTAGAATTGCCAAAGTACAAAAAGAAAAAAGTCTCCATTTTATTTTATTGCACAAAATAATAGCACTTTCTGATAATGATCAAGGCTATAATTACTCAATGTCCAGTTTTATCCTGTCTGATGTGTTTTTCCAGTATTGATATTTGTTGAGATGTTGAATTTTGAATCAATTAGTGGGTGTTTCCCAATTGCCAGGATCCTCAGCTTCTGAACCACTTCTGACAGATCCATGTCATCAGAGCTCTACCCAGTGCTGTTCCAATTCCCCCAAAGCCCTCACATCCTTCGCACTCCACTCCTCCGTTTGGCTCTTTTACCAAGGATGCACGGGTGGATCCTTAGCCGCCTCAGAGCGCTGCAAATTGCCCACAATGCATCGCAACCTCATCTTTTATAAACTTTATTTAAGCAGTAAAATGCATTTTAATCAAATACAACTTTGCTGCTGTCGCCACATTGCCTCAGATCACGCTATTATCAGATCAGTGAATTAAAATCAGGACAAATGCAGCAAAATCTCTTAAAGAAGAGGATTGGAATGCAATTAGCCTATCATCCGAAAATGTTTTAGCCTGTGGAGACTAATGATCAGCCTAAACAACTCAATAACAGATGATTCCCTCAGCCTTTATTATTCACGTTTTAATGCCTGTGACACATAAAATCACCTCTGAACACTTTATATTTGTAGAAGCATTGATGTTTATGAAAATTCAGAGGTTTTTTTTGCATGTGATCTGGTCACATGATACAGCGCAGTCGGAAAAATTTCCACAGTGTACCTTGTGTTTAACCTGTTTGTTTTTGTTCTTAGGATCACTGATGTCCAAGATTTCGTCACGCGTTGTCAGAGGAGCTGCCCCCCTTTCGTCCTCACCACGTCGATACCATTTCGAGAGCTGAGCGACCTGGACTTGAGCCTGGAGGAAGCAGATTTAACCAACGCAGTGATCGTGCAGAGACCTCTCAACACACAGGCAGCCTTTGGTCACTCCTCCTGACCCCATACAGGTCCAATACAGCTCAAATACAGCTCCAACACAGCTCCAGTACAGCTCCATCACTCACACACACATAGATTATTCTGTCCTTCAATATTTACACTGATTGGAAGCTCAAGGCTGCGTATAACTCACTATCCATTGACTCAGCAGTGTCTCTTCCCAACCTCACTAAGACACTGTGGTGGAAAATCTACTCTATTGTGTTACTTAAGTAAAAGTATAGATACTAGAGCACAAATACTCAAGTAAAAGTATTAAAGTACCTGTGTAAAAATGTTCTTAAAGGTGCACTGTGCAACTTTTTGGTTGTCACCTTCTTGTTTCTATGGAGATGTCATTTCTCTGCCTGGAATGTTCCACAGTGTGACATGAAACAGATCTGCTTTACGTTATTCAGTTGAGGCTTTTTGAGGTTTATAGTTCAAAAATACCTAGAAAAACAGACATTCTGACTGTGAGTGGGGTCGCCTCTCCACAGAGCTGACCTGTACCTTGGTCTGGTTTGGTCTTCATGAAGATAAAAAGGTTTAATGTCATACTGTGAAACATTCCAGACAAACAATAACATCTCCATGGAGAAAAACATTTGAAGGACCCTCCACCAAAAAAGTTACTCAATGCACCTTTAAGTAAAAATACAGATACCAGAGCAAAAAAAATACTCAAGTGTCACATGAAAAAAATCTGCTCAAAAAATCTGTTTAAAAATGTACTTAAAGAGTAAAAAGTAAAAGTATTTTACAGATTTTGAGGTCTCATATGGCTTCAAATGTAGTGATTTTGATACAGATTTGTGCTGAATTTTTTCAACAGGAACAGTTAAATCGATTATTTACTTGTAGATTTTTTTTTGCTTAAACTATGAATGTGTTAAAAAAAAACAACAAAAAAACAACTCTCAGCCTTTTCAGCTCTCAAACTATAATAAGAAACACTTTTAACTTTTCAGTCCTCAAAAATGTAGTGGAGTAGAAAGTACAGATACCTGCTCTCAAATGTAGTGAAGTAAAAGTAAAGTGTCCACTTTAAATTCTACTTAAGTACAGTACAGGTACCTAAAATATACTTACAGTACAGTACTTCACTACTTCATTACTTTCCACCACTGCTAAGACAGATATGCATTGTGCTAACTTAGTACTCTAGGGATGTAGAATTTTAGTCATTTTTAAAGTCACAGTATGTAACTTTTTAGCTTTTTGCTAATTGCACTGAAAAATTTGTCTTTAGTCTGAGCGTGCTTGTGATCTTCATAAATCTGAGGAGGGCTTCTTCCTGCTTGTTTCCATGGAAATGTAGTTGTTTTGGCTATAATATTTCACAGTATGGCATTAAACTCATTCATCACCACGGAGATTGTTCCGAAGTATGTACTGCCTCCAGAAAGATACATACTGTACCTTTAAAATCTTTTTATTTTATTTATTTATTTTTTTTTTACAAATTTATTTTTGTGGAAATTATTTTACAACTTTCAGAATTGTTGTTGCCATAAACAGCAGATTCTCAGTGCTACGACTACTTTATTTTGCTGTTACCAAGGTTTTGTTTCTCCTCTTAATAGAGCAATGACAGGAAAAGTTAATGGGCTCTATTCACACTTACGTCACAAAACCGGAAGACATCTGGAAACGTGTGGATGACAACTCTTCCTTTGGGCTCTGTTGGCGATAGTAACTCTGGGAAATCTGGGAAAACTGAGAAAGTGGGCCGGTTTTCTTCATCTAGATATCATTGTATTCTTTATTTTTTTCCTTTTATAATCTGCCTATAAATTTATTATAATTTGTCTTAAAATTGAAGATACGATCAGAGAGTCCCGTCTCCCATGGAAAGCTTTGGCAGGTTGTGAAGATGCTGCTGATTCCACGGTTTTATCACATGCCCAGTGTCGGGAACTACACCGGAACTCGTCATCCGCATGTTTCCAAATGTCTTCCGGTAAGTGTGAATAGAGCCTATTAAAACATTAACAACAGTCAGTGGCAATTTCAACCTAAAAAAACAAAACAACTTTTATTGGCACAAATAACAGGCAAACAGACAAAAATATGGAGATTCTTTATTCACTCACTTTACCTTATCAATTTTATTCAACCTTTAGTTACATTTTAGGATTCATTTTTATTATATTTTTTAACATAAGTCATTTATAAGATGCACAATTTCATAGTTTTCTCTGATGACATCCCTACATGGTACCACTTTTATCAGAACACTATCAAACACATTATATTTCTTAATTTTTAGGTCAGTATTCACCTGCCTATATACTACAATGATATAATAATATAACTGAGATTAAAATAAATGCAGTTTTAACTATCACTAATGCAAAACACAACATAATTTTACATAGAAGTACACCAGCACTTCGTAAGTCTTCCCAAACAGCTTTCAGACAGATCTCTGCACTAAAATGAATGGGGCTAGTACGACACTGCATCTTGTGATCCTGTATTATGGAAAAGCTATATTTATGACGCATGCTGTTTTGTTTACATACTCTGAGGAGGAAAATGTGATGATGGCGTATTTAAAATGGCCAGACTGTTCTGTGAGTATCATGTCATGCTAGTATTTTTCATGGATTGCCTTTATTTGGAGTTGAATGTACCTCAATATCTTAATTAAGCTAGAATAAAAATCCTTACTTTATGCAATTTGTTGTGGGGTGATTCTTGTCTGATTTTGGTTAATATCACATTTTCTAGTTTTGTTTTTATAGTCACACTTAAAGGGCCTGTATTACGTTATTTTCTATGTTATAATGTAGTTTCCTCATCACAAACAGACCTGGAGTTGTGTTTTTTTTTTTCATTCATATGTTCAACACACAAACTTTGCATATTCAGGCTTTAGAGTTCTTCTCCCAAACTTGAAAACTACCTCTTCATGACATCACAAGGTCGAACAGAGCATTTTGAGCGTAGTAGTCCAATGAGGTTCATTTGGTCTTCCGATAATTTATCTTTTTTGGTTCTTTTTTCAGACCAAGAGTTTGTTTTCATACCTGACAGATTTCACTGCTCACTAGTAGAGTAATGTAATTATATTCAAATCTCTCGGTACGATATTATCACGATATATATCTCATGGTATGATATTTATTGCAATATTTTGGAAAGGTTAATCGAATTGTAGATAGGAGACTTTTTTGCTTTTAAAATACCTCGACAAGATTTTGGTGTGAATTTTTACTGTCATAATCCCAAGAATTCAAGTCAAAAACATATTTCTTCATGTTGTCTGCAGTGAAATGAATCATTGGATATGTAGTTCCCGATGTTTATAAGCTGTTACTACTATAAAACCATGAATTTAGCAAAGAACTTATGATCTTGAATATTGTGACAGCCCACAATATTATTGAGACTTTTGACAATACGATATCATAATATTTTGGTTATTGTTACATCCCTACTCACTAGTGATCTTCCTCAGCGTGGTCATAAAAGTAATGTCATATACGGAACACCCTGCATGTCCTGCAATAAAACATACATCGAGGAAACAGGGAGGGCATTCAGTACATGAAAAAAGAAACATAGGGCACAATGTGAGAAGGAAACAGAGAAGGAAAAACATGGGCAACAAAACACAAAGTATGACACGAACAACTCAAATCGACCATTTGTGACACTGTAAAACAGAGATGCACATTGTGGACTTAGACGGAGCAAACATCACTGGGACAGAGGACGACAAACATCGCCGCTGGATTAAAGAGGCAATCAAAATACAGAAGCATGCCCATGGGACGATAAACCGGGACGAGGGGGCTTTTTTACTCTCACACACCTGGGATACTGTCCTGAGGAAGAGGAATTGTAGACTGTAGACTGTGAAACCTGTATAAATTAGCTGGGCGGACACCTCACAGCAACATCACGTAAACACTCTGAGGAAGAACGCAGGGAACACTCCAAACGGTCAGGTATAAAAACAAACCCTTGGTCATAGAGCATTTTGACTTTTGGAGACGTAGACAGACTAATAATAAAAAGTTACTCAAACGTGTGAATGAAATAAAAAGCAACTCCAGGTCTGTTTTTGAAACAACATTATAACATGACTAAAAGCTCACAAGAGTCAGTTTTGTGTAATGTAGGATCTTTAAAATTCACACTAGGATTCAGTTCACAGTGCACAGTCAGAGAGCAGCAAGATTTTAGAGAAGACTGAAATCTGAATTGCTAAACTACAGTAACAGAAGAGCATGCATTTCAAAAGTCTGAACTACAGTGTTGGCAAGTTTTATAACATTTGATCCCAATCTGTTAGGTTACAGATTAGGGATGTAACAATAACCGAAATATTGTGATATCATATCGTCAAAGTTCTCACAATAATATCGTGGACCATCTCAATATATCGAATTACAAGTCGAGTTGCTTAAATTAAGAGTTATGGTGCAGAAATAGACAGAGGGAACTACATAGACCATGATCCTTTGCTCCATTTCAGTGTTGACTACAAAAAGAAATAACAGTTCTAACACTTTTAAGTCTTAGTTCTGTGGATTAAGTCTTGTCAAGGCATTTTAAGTATATCATTACAAACCTATTACAGATATTTTCCTTTACAAACGACAAAAATATTATGTCTTAATACTAAAAAAAACAAAAAAACTGTGTTCTCTAATGCATGAACTCGTTAGTCTGATGTTACTGGTCAGTGCTATTAAAACATACATCAACTGATGGAGAAAAATCCCCCCAAAAAAGTCCAAAACCGTTCTACTCTACACCTGGTATTATTTAGACCTCTGCTAATTACTTATTAGGAAGATCCAGGTCGCCGTTTGCTTCATTTGCAATTACAGTGTTAGTCTTAGCTTTGCATTTTCAGGTTGTCGGCAGGTGTAGAGAAAAAAACGCTGATGTTAGAAGAGGCATTAAAAAAACATCAGTCCAAATGGGCTTTAATGAATGTGGTGCTAGTGAGAGGACACGGAGCAGCCTTGTCCTACCACGGTGACAGCCTCACACAACATCTGCTCTCATTAGGGATTTGAAGGGGCCAACCGCAACTGGATTAATGATCGCTTATGAGATTAATTCTGTTTCATTTGGTTCGTGGAGCTAGGGCAGGTTCATTTTTACGGTTCAAAAGTTCATTGTAGCTTTAAAGGTCCTATATTACACTAAAAAATTGACTCTTGGGTGATTTAAAACATGTTATAATGATGTTTCCTCATCAAAAACATACTGTGCCTGGAGTTGTGTTTTGTTTCATTCATACATGTTTGAATAATCCTGCATTATTAGTATTAAATGCTCTGTTCCACCTTGTGATGTCACGAAGCCGTAGTTTTCAAGTTAACAGCTTCTTTTACGTTTTGTTCCGTAGAGATCTGCAATTCCAAAGCTGAAATGATCCAAATGATTCTATTGAAGGAGTATGTAGTGCAGTTGTCGTTGTACAGTTGTAGGGAGTATTATCTGTTACATCAGGGTGAGTTGTTGTACAATTGTAGGGAGTATTATCTGTTACATAAGGGTGAGTTGATGTATAGTTGTAGGGAGTATTATCTATTACATAAAGGTGAGTTGTACAGTTCTAGGGAGTATTATCTGTTACATAAGGTTGAATTGTTCATTTGTAGGGAGTATTATCTGTTATATAAGGATGGGTTGTTGTACAGTTGTAGGGAGTATTATCTGTTACATAAGGGTGAGTTGTACATTTGTAGGGAGTATTATCTGTTATATAAGGATGGGTTGTTGTACAGTTTTAGGGAGTATTATCTGTTACATAAGGGTGAGTTGTTGTACAGTTGTAGGGAGTATTATTGTTACATAAGGGTGAGTTAATGTACAGTTGTAGGGAGTATTATCTGTTACATAAGGGTGAGTTGTTCAAAAGTTCATTGTAGATTTAAAGGTCCTATATACATTGACAAATTGACTTTTGGGTGGTTTAAAACATGTTATAATGATGTTTCCTCATTAAAAACACAATGCACTTGGAATTGTGTTTTGTTTCATTCACACGTTTGAGTAATACTGCATTACTAGTTTTAAATGTCAAGCTGTAGTTTTCAAGTTAACAGCTCCGTTTTTGTTCCGTAGAGATTGGCAATTCCAAAGCTGAAATTATCCAAATGATTCTACTGTAGGTGTATGGAGTTTAAAAACAGAGTGGAGCACTTCCTGTATCACCACATGACATCACAAGGTGGGCAGGACAATTATACATGTTGTTTTTATAGGTTTGGTGTTCCTGTTAGGTGCAAGATTTTAAGGAGTTTCCATTCAAAACTAATATGGTGTTTTAAATTGTTAATCACTATGACAACTATGACTTTTTTAAATGATTCAGTTAATTGATACTTCGCAGTGACATCGCGCTGGGTGTGTTCTGTCTGGTATCTGTATGGCAAAATGTTCAGCTGTTTCCATGGTGATACTATACACACATTAGCAAACGCAAGTGAAAACCTTTTAAGATTGTCTGCAAACTCAAGAAAAAATACAGAATGGATTTAAAGAGCACATTTTCAGGAGCTCATGATCAGTGTGAGTGTGGTCCATGTGCCATTTGTTCTTTTGGATTTCAATTAAGAATGAAAAACAATAAAACTGGAAAACAGTTTGTGATTTCATTATTCTGTTTTAGTGTCAAACAAAAAACAGATTTCGACCTCTATTTCCAATATTTAACTTAAAGTTTATTTCAGATAACACAAGTCAAAAAACAGTCATCTTTGGTTTATTTGCCCTGGAAGTTCTGCTGCTTGAAGGACTCACCTGAAAAATCGTTGCAATTTTGTGGACAAACAGCGACGTGTTTACTTTCGCATCTTAGAAAGTCATTGTTGAACTCCATGACAAGAAACAAGTAGCAGCGATGATCTCCTTTGTTCAGTTGACTCCACAGAGCTATAACAAGCGCAATCAAAGATATCAACCTGGTCCCCATGAGGCATCAGTGGGTCAGTTCATCAGCACAGAAGCTGTTTATGAGGAGCCCAGCCCATATTACATGATCATTATATCCACAATACAATGTGTGTATGTGTACAGGCCCATGAACATTTGTGTGATACTGGTCACACATGAGAATGTCTGTGTTTATGAGAATGAGAATGTCTGTGTTTACTTTTTTCTGAAATTTTAAGAGCACTCCCGTTGCTCGAGCTCGATCCTTCGTGGAGTTATGACCAAAAACGCATATTTGACCTTGGTTACCTTGACCTTCAAGTGACCTTGACCGGTTTCAACCTGTAACATCCAGTGTACCCCGGTTATGTGTGTGCCAACTTGTGTGATGATTGGGTGAATATTTTTAACCCACAGATGGTTCAGAAATTGCTGAAATTGCCTATCCTGTATAATGGCATGACCTTTCAACTGACCCGTGTGACCTCAAATGACCTCAGATCGTCACCAAACTTTTTTTGCGGCATCGCTCACAGGGGTTTGACCCATGTGCAAATTTGGTGACAATTGGTCCATAAATGGTGGAATTATCACGGGTGGACAGACACACACACACAGACACACAGGGTGAATGCAAAACCTGGTCAACCCTTCAGAGACCAGGTAATAAAAGAAGTTTTACTATAGATCCATAGTTGACAGTGCAGCAGTACTTCCCGGGCAAATAAACCAGAGAGAATAAAATATCAAACTTATACAAAATAGGCACCGAGACAGTT